TTTCTTGCCTGGAGGAGAAAGACTTAATATATGAAGGGATCATGTATACAAGAATAAACTGGTCTACTGACCTTTGGGAAGTAGTGGATTGAAATTGCACCAAAAGGCGTAAACTTGGACTACAGAGAAAAATTTTGTAATGGTGAAGGTAGTTTGCCCCTGGAATAAATTTTCAAAGATGTTGACATTTCTGTGTTGAGCTTGAACATGCAGAACAACCCATCCAACATCTATCAGGAACGCTTTTATGTTTAAATTGATTCTAGCTTGGGGAAGAGGACGCCACTTTCATAGTCCCTTCGTCCCCCTTTTCCGTGTACTGAAGAGGCTGAAGAACCTTTGGGTCTTCTCTATCCAGGTCACATCTGGCTGTGTGCACACATGTGTGTCTGTGTGCACTTGTGTATTTCATAATACACAATACATACATAATACATAAATGTGGCAATAGCAGCTGCAATTTGTGCAGTAATTTTTCCCATTGCCATGCATTAAATGTGCTCACAGTGTAACTAACAGAGTATGCCTCTTGAGAGTAACAGAGAAGCACTGGGAAGGTGAACTCTGTGGGGTTTTAAACAGCAAGTAAAAAGGCAATGGCAGTTCTGGGCGTACTTCAACAGATGGCTGAACCCTTGGACCAGGTATGTCCCGTGCTGAGGCAGGCTTTCCCTGGATTCTCTATATCATCAGTGAGAAAGGGAGACACGCCCAGATGGTGGTTCACCTAGAATTGGGTGTTTCATCTAGAATTGATGGTTGCTTTTCTTCAGCTACACAGAGCAGTATTTCTAAAAGTAAAATCACAACGAAACTAAGCCTTAGTGAACCAGTGAAAAACATAAAGAATTATGGACTATTTTGTGGGTGGTTTTTTTTTCTTTTCTTCTTTTTCAGTTCTAGAACAATACCAAGCTTTCACTAAGAATTCAGTGAGCTCTCGGAGTTAGTTTTGTCCCAGCCCTTTTATCACATTTGGTTTTGCTGAGCCTCTGTTTGAACTCTGGCTTTGGTCTTCTGTGGCAGCCAAGGCACCATATAAACTTAGTGCTTGCTGCAAACTGCAGAATGGATGTTGTCAGATGGGAGAGAGAATATTTAAAAAAAAAAATAAAAAAAAAGGTTTTGAACATAAAACTCTTATTTTGATATTTTGAAACAGACGTTAAGTATATAGTTAGTATTTTACTAGTTTTGCAACTTCTGTGCTCCATGATGATACAGTATTTTAAACGACAAAATTTTCTAGTGAGCTGTCTGAGCAGTGAGTTGTTTAACTTGGTAATAGATCTAAGTATACACTCTTTGTTGCAATTTTTCCTCCCTGTGCTTGTGCCAGTGAATCGTGACCACAATTTTTCTACTCACCTGTTATCAACAAACTATTCAGCTAGCTTTTACTCAGATAGACATCAAATCAAGAGTTGTTGTTTTTTTAGAAATTCTCAATTGAATGAACTGATACATCAGTGGAAATAAAAATTTCCACAGAGGTCGTTTTTGCCTTCTCTCCTGAGATCAAGATCACGCAGGATGCTGTGCTGACAGCTCTGACAGTTCTAATTGGTTTACTCTGGTGCTGTGATAACCCACTTTTTTTTCCTCTTGTGTTTTGGTTTTTTTTTTTTTCCCTCCCCACCTCCAAATGCAGACTTAAAGTGCAGTGGGGTCACCATGACTCAAGATCACGATTTAAAGGTTTTCAGCCATTGGATTTTCTAGTGGCTAGTTTGTCCCGGTAAGCTGTTAGACATACATCTAGCACACAGAAAATTCAGTGATCAAAGTGGCTGTGGGACTATGTAAGGGAAAGCTAGATCTCTTCACAGTGCATACCTGGTATATTCTCTTTTGGCAGCTATCCTGCTAGGGAAGTAAATATCCTGTAGCCTCTCTGATCTTTGCCCAGTTCTCTGGATAGGTTTTGTTGAAGAATATGTTTTGTTGTGTGTCTTCAGCTGGTGCTGTAGTTGCTATGAGGGTTTGTTTTGGTGACTGCTCTGAGGGTAGACAGTAACCACACCAGGATAATATTCCCACAAAGAGCTTCGTGTATAAATTGCAACTGTTGTAGAAGTTGCAACTGCTCAAATAGTTATGCTGCTGCAAATACCTTGATTAATTGTTGTCTTGGCCACCTAAGAATGACATCATGGTTTTATAGTTGCTTCTTGAATGCTGCATAGCAAGCATATAACTTTCTCACGGAGAGTGTTGCTTTTAACTTAATTTTACTGCAGTTTATTTGGAACACTATAATATACTTTCTGGGTGTAATTATGCTGGCTAGTATTAGTATTAATCATTTTATAGTACTCTACTTCGTACAGTCTTTGTAGGAGTGATAAAATAGATGTTAAAAGCTGTGTAGGGAAAATGTATGAAACACAGTAAGCAATACAGTATCATTGCTGTTCTTTTTCTGCCTTACTCCCCTTACCGCTTATTTGCATTTCTGCATGGAATTTATACTATTGGATTGCTGTGGGTTTGCTTGTGTTTTTTTTGGAGAATGGGGAGAAGAATTTGGGGGAGGGATGTTTTTCTTTTGTGGTGAGTGCCACTGTCCTGTGTCATGTTAGCAAATGGGAGTTAGCATGTTAGCGAAAATGAGCCAACAGGAGCGGATCTGTGGAGAAAAACACACAGTGCCAAGGTTCCTGTGCAGCTCAGAAGGTTTTGCTTTGAGCAGGCTGGAGTCTGGCCTTTCAGGCTTCATTCCTTGTCAGTTGAACACTGATGAGGGGTCCTACTGAAGTGTGTGTTCTCACTTGGTTTTGTCTAGAAGTCTCGTTCATGGGCCCCAGTACCACTCAACAGCACGAGCAGCAGCAGATTGAGTTGAGGCAACTGGTGGACGATCTTCAAAAAGGCACTCCTGATCCAAATGGAAAATGCTAATGTATACACCTTCACTGGACACTTCATTTCTAGACAATATCAGTTTTCCTTGTTTTCTTAAGATAGTGAGTAGTTAAGAAGGGGGTGTCGTCTCAAGCGTTTGTCTCCCTGCTGTGTTACTGTGGGAGTGGAGGCAATGAGTGTTGATACTGTTGGGTCTCAGTTGTGTATGTGCTGTCCCTGTTATACATGAAGAGCATGCTTGCGCACCTCTGCACTTGCTCCACCGTTACGTTTTTGAGGGGTTTTTTTTGGCTTTGGTGGCCTTTCAAGGCTCTGCTGAAAAGATAGGAGGTATCTTTTCCGCTAATACTGTATAGGATTGGACTGTACTTGCTGACTGGTTCTGGTGTGCACAGTCCCCTCTTCATTTCTCTCTGAAATCCCAAACTTCTGGGGAAGCCTCTAAGGTAAGCAGGTAAGGTACTGGAGAGGAAGGTAAGCCCTGATTCCATAGGAAAAGGTCAGAGATGGTTGAAGGCTCTTGCTCTTCTACCTCAATACATACCCAGATGTTGCTCAACTCAGTAGTACTGTTTACTTCTCCAGAACTCTCAGCGACTCACTGTTACAGCTGCTCTGAAAGCTCATCTCAAAGAAATTACTTTTATTGGCTGTATTTTTCCATAATTGTCCACAGTATGTTGCCCTGCTTTCTCTTTCCATTAGTTTAATTTTTGTTAAATGTCCCCTTTGCAATCCAGCTTATGACATGTACATTTGTTAGGACTTTTAAAACAATTACAATGAAATGTCCTTAAAATATTTCCTCCTCTTTCACCCCAGACCAGAAATAGGAAATTTCTTTTCCCTACCTTGAAAATGTACAAAGTTAAATAAGGAACATGTTTGTTAAGCATAATTTTTATAAATCTAATAAGCATAGGCATCTTTTCTTCTTGTTTTAAACACTGTACAGTTGACTAGAAGATGTTTTCCAGAAACAGTCAAAATGCTTTAGGACACTTCATTTGTTAATTAATTTTTCCATTTCTTTGCAGATGTATTTGTCAGGCCTTACATCAGAAGATCTCTGTTTTGGTCACTCACCAGTTGCAATATCTTCGTGCTGCAAATCAGATTCTAATTTTAAAAGATGTAAGTAATTTTAGTGTCTATGCTTTTATATCTTGCACACTTTCTAATTATCCTTTTCAATCTAAGAATGGAAAAAAGAAACAGTTAAAGATTTTCACTTTGACCATATATGTTTTTAAAGATTTATAATCATTAATGAAATAAGTTGTTTTTTCTTAGAATATCTTCCCTGAAAAATCTGTTTTATCATTCATGTACATAATATTACATATTGATTTTTATTTGACATATGTATAATATACTGTGAGGGAATTACTTATTTTTGAGACTAAGTTAATGCTTTGCTTTTATTCTCATTTCTTACACTTTTGTGTGAATTAAGAATTATGTTGATTTTGCAACCAGTCCCTTCTTGAAATTAAGGCTGAGAAATGGTCGCAGTACCTTTGAGAACAAGCAGGCCTACAGTAAAACTGGTTCCTTCCAAACTTGGTTGTACCAGTTATTCACAGGTAGAGGAGAAATGCAGGAAGTTCAGCTGTTTGTTTTGTTTTAAGGTTGGGTAGTGAAGTATGTGAAATTACTTTTTGATGCATCACAAGGTTGCAAAAAAGGACACTAGCTGTCTTTTTCCTCCCACTCGGATGTCTTTAAAAGTCACAGTAGCGTCCTAGAAATGAGCTGTAAGAAGAGTGGAAATGGTCTGTGGTGCTCCTGCTAGAGCTCTATGAGGACCAGAAAATTAAGCTGCTGTTTACCCCTAGCCCGGAGTATTATAAAAAGACTGATGGTTCTGTGTGTAGTTCAACAGCCTGTCCTACAGCTGCATGGCTGTCTCCTGCAGCTTCTCCAAGGAGGTGACTCTCACCTGGCTGTAACTGGGACTTTTGTCATCCCATTTGTATGCTCCCTGTCCTGATTAGCTGCCAGGAAGGGACTGGTTAGAGGGTGAAGAGCATGCTTCTGCTCTCCTAAATGAGGAACTGATAGTTAGAGGCTTCAGCTCAGTTACTGCAGTGGGATGTGTGCTCAGCAACTGCAGAACCCCCGAGGTGGCAAGGATAGATAGGAAAAATTGTCCTTTACAGAAAGTGTATGATGAAGATAATCAAAGCTTATATTAATTGTAGGGTAAAATGGTGGGGAAAGGTACCTATTCAGAGTTCCTGAGATCTGGCATCGACTTTGCTTCCCTTTTGAAAAAAGATGAGGAGGTAGAACAGCTGTCGGTTCCAGGAACCCCCAACCTGAAGTCTGCTCGGAGTCGAACATTCTCGGAGTCCTCTGTCTGGTCCCAGGATTCTTCTGTCCACTCACAGAAAGACGGAGCAGTGGAACAACCACCTGTGAGTGCTCAAAGGATAAACGAGTCTCGATCCTTGCCTGCCTGGTTTTTAACTTAAACTTCGATAGGGGCTTTCCCTGCTGCATTTGAATTTCAGGAGTTGTTGGATTGCATTAGCAGGTGAGAGCTTGCCCACGGTGGATCTGCCCAGCGCTGTGTTTGGCTGGCAGTCCTGGCACCTGGGCTGCAGAGGGCAGGCATCCCACAGCTCTGGGCTGTTCTGTTCAAACCCGGCAGAGTGAGTTTGTTCAGGTTGAGCATCAGCTCTGCTGGATGCTGGAAGCATTCGTATCTGTGTCCAAAGACACCGCGCTGTGCTTCCTTCATCCTGTCCCCTGCTTTAAAGGGCCAGTACCGCTGTACTGGGTGGGTTCTGTGTGTTTGTGCAGTGCTAAACTCAAATTAACACTTGCCCTGAAATCCTGAGCTCTGGGAAAAGCGTGCAGAAGCGGTGGCTTTTTACAAAGTCTACATTTGCATGGCTGACATTAACATACCCACATGGTCTTGAGCTGGCCCTGAGGGAGTAACCTTGGGACACCACTGCATTGCTCCCCCCAGCCCATCTGTTGGTGAAAACAGAATCCTTTGTATGGTGCCAGCTTGGCTTCCAGGTGCCTTTTTATCTCTTGGTCTGCACAGCGCAAAAGCAGCAAAGCCATAAGGTTTCTGTACCAGAGGTGGCCTTCTGCGGGTGTGTTTGCCTTCACATAAAACAGCACAGGAGGCCTGTAACCCTGCTAGACTTGTGCTGGCACTGCATCTGTGGAACACGAGTCATCCTTGTGTGTCCCTGATGATTGTCGTCTTTATGCTATATAGTTCTTCTATATATCAGATTATATAAATACATATATTTTTATATATATTAGTTCTTTTTCTTTCCTTTAATGGAAAGCAGTGAAATTAAAAAAAAAAAAGCTACAGACTTTTTCATACCTTTTTGGAGGAATGGTTTTATGCCTAAAAGCAATAAACTCATCTGGTATTATTAATGTCCCAGTGGTGACTGCACTATTAAATCCACACAGGTGTGCCAAACATTTAGCAGCATGAGAGCTGTTGGATGGGGGCATGGAGGATGGGGCTGGAGAAAAAAAAAAACAAGATAGGCTTCTCTTCTCTTATGGGCAAGTAGGTGGGATTTCTCCTTTCACCTCTGAGTCACGTCTGTTGATTCCACTGCTCTTGCACAGCCATGTCTGCTGACAACAAAAGCAAGTGTTATGTGTCCGCTGAACTGGCACTAGTTTTTCCATCATATACACTGAAAAAAAAAAAAAAACACACAAAAAAAAAAAACAACAAAAAACCCCCAAAAACCCCAGAATTTTGTTCATTTGAATAGTTCTTTTACCTTCTTTATGCCTCTCTCATTTTTTCCTTTTCTGTCTTTCAGTGTCCCCCATCCGTTGTTTGCTTAATGTGATTTCTCATTTGTCATTTTACTTGTATTCCCTATTAACAGATGCTTTGTTGGTACTTACAAGGAGGTGATTAGATCTTTATGGGTAATTTGTTACTCTGGCCATATGTTGATTGATTTTGGTGCTTATTTGCAGAAGAGTATTTACTTTAAATACTTTTCTGAACAGGAAAGGTTACACACACTTGCATTCTGAAAACAGAATCTCTCCCAAGCCAAGGCCTTAGTTTCCAGAGCTGTTATGACTGAAGGTACTATATAAGAAAAGAAAAACCTGGTTTATTGATCAGTTAGAGTAAATATTTCTGTGTCTGTAAATGAAGTCATGTTACATTCTGTGATGTAATAAAAATAAAATCCTCACATTTTGCAGAGTAGATTTTTCAGTATTACTGCACCAAGACTAATTTTTTTTGTCAAAGCTATAGTTCCAATTTTTAAAGTTTTTATATGCATAATCACTTTATCTCCTTATTTAATTGTTGCTAATGCTGAACCATGACTTTCAAGTGGCTTAGTCTGAATGTGTAACTGGAAGGTTAAAGTTTTTTATTGTGGTTTTTTTGTTGTTTTTTTTCAGGCTGAAAATGCATTGTCTGCAGTGCCAGAAGAGAGTCGTTCTGAGGGAAAAATAAACTTTAAAGTTTACAGAAAATATTTCACTGCAGGAGCAAACTACTTTGTGATTTTTATACTTTTAGTATTCAATATATTGGCACAGGTGAGTTGTCGGGAGCCACAAATAATATTTAATGTATTTTGAGTTTGCCCTTTTTTTTCTTCTTTTTAATGTAGTATGTGCTTGTTACTGTGATGTTTCATCTGAAATGTTTGGGAGCATGGTGTTCTTTAATAATTTTGTAGTATACTCGCTCAAATTTTATCTGTCAGCATGGAGTTTTTGGTACAGTGTTGAGAGGTCTTGCACTGATCCTTATTTCAACAGTTTTAATACTTCAGTAAAGCAATTATTCTACTGGCAGCATGGCACAGAAATTATAAGCCAGTCTAATTTTTGGAGATAGAGAACAAAATCATAAGATGTGTAAAGTAGCAAACCTGGACAGTTGAGGAGGGCAAATAGTTTTACTGAGTACAGGAGGACAGAGTCTGATAGAAGTGTTGAAAGAAAAGCTTGTCTGCTGGTAAGTGCAGGTTATGAGGAGGGCTAGAAGGAGGGTCACTGTTTAGCAGAATAAGAAAGTGAAGAAGAGAATGGGCAAATACTGTGTGTAATGCAGACTGCAGCAGGTATGTAAAAGAATTTTTAAACAAGGAAAATTATTTTGAAACTTACTGAAAGAAATGGTGAGCGAGGAAGCTGCATGAGGATAGCGTATTGCCTTTTTCTCTGTTTACTGCTGAGAAAGCTTAAATTCATTTCATGGAAATGATTGGTCTTGGCTGTAAAAAATAGTCAATATATTTAGACATGTTACTACTTTTTTGCTTGTCCCTGAATTGAGTCTGTTGGAAAGATAGCTGAGCAAGATCAAATCTCTGCAGTAGACTGTCCAGAACTTCAAATTCACATGAACAGAGGTGTACTTTGAGATAAATAATGCTGTTACAAGTTTGTAGTCACCTCTCATCACAGAAGGAAGGTGGCAGAAGGAGTTTTTCCCTCCCTCTCTTCTCTCATCCTCCTTCAACCCTGTTTCTGGTAATTATCTCCCGTAAACACAACTTTCTGGACTGGTAACATCAGAAAGTTTGTTAATCAAAAAGCATTTTGGAATATCTCTAGTAGGAAATTTAGGAACTGAAAAAATGAGTTCTTTAATGTGCAATTAACATACATTAGGAAGAGCTACTATATTTTGTTTGGTTAAGTGTATTGCTTTCCTTTAGTTTGCTATCAGGTAAGGTAATTTAAGGTAACTTCTTTCTTTGTAGAGGGTTCTAATGCACTTTCTAATGTGCTTTGCAAATTGCTGCTGGTCTTGAAAGACTGGATGGCATACTTTCCTGAATATGTGATGTTTTCCCAGAGAACATGAAAGAATAGCACAGAAATTTAATTTTCCAATTTTTTTTTCATTTTCTAAGATAATTCTTGTATTTGCCTCTCTTACTCAAGGTGGCATATGTGCTTCAGGATTGGTGGCTTTCTTACTGGTAAGTTGATGATAACTGGTCAGTCATTTCTGCCTTTTCAGTCAAGCACTGTTTGTCTAATAGAAATCAGTGTTGTATAGGTAGTGGTGGTGGGGCAAACCTGTTTTAGGAAACTTCAGGATATGCTTGATCTTTTTCTGATCTCCACTCATTTTGTGCGGGGGAAAAAAAATAAACTTTATGCTACCATGTTGCCTGTGATTGCTTCTACTCATGGTGTGATGCATGACAGTACATGGGATCTTTTGAACTAAAGATTTCAACAGAGTTGATTCTAGAAACAGTTAAACGTACTCATGAATATTTGCAGAATGTAATTTGATGATTGTTATCTTCTGTATGCATTTCCACAGGGCAAATCATCAAGAAAAGTTGAATGTCACAACAAATGGAAATAATGGAGCAAATGAGACTGAACATCTAGACCTTAACTTTTATTTGGGAATTTACGCAGGTAATTACACATGCACGTGTGTGTCTAAAGAACTATTTATTATCTGACCTATCATAATAAACAGTTTTGAGAGGTGTAAAGCAACAGCAATGTGGGGAAATGTGATTTCTAGTGGTAACTGCGTAATGTCTTAACAGATTAGGACCCTGAGTCTTGCCTCCTGACTGCATTAATTGGAATAAATAAAATTTAAAAGTCTAACAGAAGAAATAGGTTGAATGCAGACTCTTAATTTGCTTTGCCTGGGTTTTGGAAAGTAAACTAGGAATTGAGTATTCCAAAAGTCTGTCACCGTAAGGTTGTGGTTATTGTCTATACTAATAGGTCATTGAGCTAAATGTTCAGTCATTATATGTATGGGCAAGAGGGATTAGAAACAGATCTTTATTCTGCACTGTTCTAAAACTTCAATGGCTACCTTCCTTTTGAAGTGCCATAGCAAAAGAACTAGTTTTCAAAAAGCATCCTAGATGGCAACGCAAAGCAGGATGTTAAAAACCATTTCAATATATTTCAATAGGTAGCCATATGCTGCTGAATATCCAGAAGAGGGCATTGATCCTTGTACTCGGGCATCCAAACATCTTCAGATACTGCTCTGAAATACAGTAAAAATTGGCACAGAAAAATCATGAAATCATCGTGTAGAAATACGCTCTCAGACTCTGCTATTTAGCACTTCTAGTGATGTACAGTTTTGTATGGCATGGTAATTCCTTGATAGAGATGTAAATGATAGGTCTGAGCAAATAAGTGGAATACCAGAAGAATATGCATTAAATGTATTCAGAAACATCTCTCCTAGGTGAGAGGATAGGTGGAGGATTTTTTGTTTGGATTTTTTTCGGGAATCTTTATGATCTAAGTGCTTGACAGAAAACGTTGTACTTGGCCTGATGAAGCCACAATTTAGGAGCCAGATAAACTTGGCTCTTATTTTCTCTGTGTCATGTCTTACTTCATGAGCCGTTCCAGTAGACTGCACAGTATGATTAAGTGTGGCAAACTTGGCTTTCTCTGACCATATAACCTAAACCACATTCTGGAAAATTTTATCCTTTAAGGCAAATTTTATTCTAGATAGCAGAACCTTTATATTGAAATGTTCAGATGGCTGAGATACTTGCAATAGTTCAACAGACAGCATTGACTTACCTAGACAAAAATTGTAAGTGAAGTTGAAAAAGTTAGAAAAAGATGGTACTTTTCCTATGAAGTACATAATAACCTAACTTACCTTTTTCTATAACCTCTTAAACTATATAAATTAATTTAACATTTTTATTTCTGATTCTCAATGTTTGGAAAAACAAAAAAATCATCATGGTAGTTTCTTCGTAGTCCTTATTGTTTCTTTGAGACAAAGATTTAGAAGAATAAGATTTCAGTTAATGGGAAACACCACTGGCCAGAACCGAGGTACCAGTTCCACACCTTTTCTATAAAGTGTGTGTGCAAAGAGTCCTTGTCTCTCTCACACTGAGGTGATAAACTTGTAAATGGGGAAACCAAAAACCTTCGGCATGAGACAGACCAGATGAAGGACAAGAAATTAAATCTCATTCCTCCTCCTTCTCCCCAGACATTAGGTCTTTTCAGGCGATTCATTTGGTGAGGATCATGCCAGCAGCTTCTAGTGGCTTCCAAACCTGAGTGAAGTTGTACAGAAATGTGGGATTCCCAGGATGTGCTCCTTCTCCTCCATTGCTCCCACACACTGCTGTTAGGCATGGGCTCTACCACAGCCTCGTGCTTAAGTGCCTCTTCTGCTCCCTCTTTGCATGACCCAACTTTCACGTTGGGGTACGTGCAGTTACTCTTGGAAAAGTTGTTTTCTTTTACTTGGCCCAGACTACAGAAGTCAGGACAAGGCGAACAAGCTCTTATCCCAGCCACGTGCTTCTTTCTTAAAAACAGCACCGCACAGAACATGGGCAATAAACTGCAAGCAGACAAATGAAGTGGTGATACCTTTTCTTGCATCCTGGGAGGATACAGCAGTAAGCAGGATGGAATAACTGATTGACTTAACCACATCATATAATTTAAAACCTCACTCTTTCCCACTGTTACTGTAGCTGTACCTGAATTGTGTCCAGTTTTAACCCATCCTTAGAATAGGCAATGTTTTATGTTGATAGTAAGGGTCTAACTTAAGGGTGTCCTGAAGGCCTAAGCATCTAGGCTTGTGGTGGCTATATTTAGTTTCTGGAGCAGATCACCTGGAGCCTGGAAGCACTGCCAAATGTAAGGTTAACACCTTCACTGCTCACCTTCATTGACTGGGAATTTGGACAGCTGCATTGGAGATTACACAAAGCAAACAGAGCAGCAGCAATCTCATCATTCTTTGTTTCCATCTTTTGCCCTGTAGCACGCCTGTCTTGTAAGTGGGGATATGCCTAGAAGAAAGGCAATTCCCTAGAAGGGCTCTATTTCACATGACATAAGGGATGCATCTTATACTGTGTTAAAAAAATACACATAATTTAAATGATTTGATGTGGTTTACCAGGGGAAGAATGGCATGAGTGGTTTGGGCTGATTGAGAATAACTCAAGGTTGTCTCTAAATAGCCATGTATATATTACTTGGTTAATACCTGCTGGCAAATGTTGAATCTTCACAGTGACCTCTGCAAACCGCAATTATACGTGGCACTGTGAAATGAATCTCTTAGCAGAGATGTTATGCAGAAGGTTTTAATACAGATTTATTTCATGGGTTAACAGACATTTCCTACATTTCTATAAAGTACCATCTCTTTCAAACCAAAAAAGAGAAATTTTTAGAATTGATTATATGATAGTAATCAAAGCTAGTGACAAATATATCTATGTTCTGCACTCAGTCTGAGTCCCTAGGCTTAAGTTTGGATTCTTGCTATATACAGAAGCCAACTTAGTTCAGTTTTATTCTTAAGTTCTTTTACTTGTGAAAGATCACTATCTGTATGCATGCTCTGTCCATGTTTTTTTAATTTCAGGTTTAACGGTGGCTACAATACTGTTTGGCATAATAAGAAGTCTTCTGGTATTTCAAGTTCTTGTTAATTCTGGTCAGACTTTGCACAACAAAATGTTTCAATCCATTTTGAAAGCTCCTGTCTTGTTTTTTGACAGAAATCCTATAGGTAAGTTTAGTAGTAAAAAACCCCCTTAACATTTAGTGTACCTCATTGATTACAATAACTATACTATTTCTGAGCAATTATGATTTTATAATATTTTTCACGTTTGTGGGGGTTTTTTGGCTTCTTTTACTTAAAATTTTTAAATTTAAACAGTGTGATCTTTTTAAATATAAAAGTCAGAATGTTGACTCCTTATAGATGGTTGATCTTACCCTCTTCAAATGCAGTATACTGAAAAATGAATTGGTGTTGTACATTGACCTGCTAGTTGCACTGCTGTTCTGATTCAGTTGCACAGGGGTGTCTTCCATGTGCTGAATGTATATGCATGCATTTTGTGGGGATTCCTTTCTTGTGCTTTTCTTTGAAAGCAACAATTATTTGCCCTTTTAAAAAATAATTTTAAGCATGTGTGGTAATTCACACTTTTGAGAAACTTTGTAGCTTACTATCCTTCCAGAATGCACAAAAGTTAACAGTTGGACTTGATGATCTTGAAGGTCTTTTCCAACCTAAATGATTCTATGATTCTATGAAAAGCGTAAAGCGTGCAATGTAAAACTCCAATCCACATCCTTATGTTCCTCAAAAGAAATGAGAGAAAAGCTGGAACAGAGTGAAAAGAGTGGAAAAGTGGGGTGGTACTAATTTACTATCCAGTCTTACATGAGAAACAAATCTGATGGTCTTCACTCCCTTGAAGATAAGGAACATAGGCTTGTTCTCATAGTTCCAGAAGGCATTTCATAATTGGAAGGGTTTATAGGGATGGCTTTATTGTTTCGGAGAAACTAGTAATGTTTTCAGGAAAAAGACATTCATGTGGAGGAAAGGTTCATGTTCATAATAGGATGAATGAAACATGTATGATTTCCCCTTTAAAAAAAAAAATTACAACTGTGGAAGTTTAAGACTGTGTTGTATGGTCATCTTGTACGGTAAGTCTGTGGCCGTGTAAATAAAGGCCACTGCAACGGATTAGAAGTGAAGCCATAAGCTGAGGAGAGAGGTTGGTAGAGAGCTAGTTGAGAGCACATGCATGAGAAGAAATTGTAGTATTGATGGCGTTTGTTGATAGATAGGCAGGGATTTTCCTCTATTTTCTCTTTTTGTGTGTGTGTGTGTGTGCACACAGCATATGCAGTGACTGTATTTTTGAGGGAATCCATAATCATCTTGTAAGAATGCCCATAAACCTGGCTCATCATAACAAACTAAGAACTACAGAGTAAACATCAGGGACAATGCAGAGTAATAAATAAGGGTTTGCTTTGTAACATACTGTGAAGCTCAAATTAGCAGTGCTTCATAAAAGTGACGTTCATAAAACCTTGCCTATCGCTGGTTTTACACAGTCATGACTTAGAGATGTGTGTTTCTATTTATCAGCAGATATTTTATAAGATTAAATTCACTATGCATATATTTCTTCCCCTTCATCTTTCTTTTGGTCATGGTAGCATGCAAAGGTACTGCTCTTCTGACTTATACATCTTTTGGGAAAGGAAAAAAGGAAAAGGAAAGATGACATGTGAGATGATGCTCTTGTTCAGAACTGCAGCATGTAGCAGTTCTGAAAATCTGTTTTTAACATCTGTGTTTTATTGTGTGATTTACCTGTTTGTTTTTTATTGTCTATTTCTCTTTTAGAACTTCAGATGCTATTTTTTTGCATTGGGGTGAGATGTATTTAAGTATAAGTCTTTTTTCTTTCTTTTTTTAGTATGACTTACTATGAAAGACACTAGAAGAAATTTGAATTATTAAAGGCTCCTTTTTCTAGGGTTGTGATTGTAACAGCCAAGCCATACTATTAGTTATCATCTCCCACATTAGCAAAGCTGATATTGTAGTGTCAGATCTGTCACTTAAGCATCCAGTGTGTTCTCAGTGTGTGACCTTCACAGAAGCAGTTGCTTAACTGACTTTTGCTGTTTCATTTATCCAAAAATAATAATGAATTTAAAAATGCCACTGCCAGGATTTTGAAAAGACAATGATCCATGTTCCAAAGTCAAGGAAGGAAACTTAAATAGACATCGATAGTTCTTACTGGGGAAGCAGACTAATGAGCAGCATCAGGAGTCGACATTAGGAAATGGAGATAGGTGGTGAATCATGACATGTCTGTCAGCTCCCAACAGCGTAGATCCAGTCAGTTGTGGTGAATAAATGAGATGACTTATTTCTGAAAAAATTCTGCTTTGTGAATCAGTTTAGGCATGACCCCAAGATCTCTCTTTACAGATTATATTGGCAATATATAGGGAGGGGAAGGTTGTAAAGGGAATAGTACCGAGCATCTTACCCAGATGATATAGGAATTTGAATGTATTTTGGAACCTGGATTACATAGCAGAGACAGAAGAGGAATATGAAGACCCCTCCTCTTTTTCCCTTCCCATCTAAAAATATTTGTATTTACACAGATTTCACCTTTCTGTAATTTGGCATAGATATAAAAGTAGTTAGACGTTACTGCTTTAAGTATGTTTTGCATTGGAAGAACCTTATTCATAAATGACTGTCTCCTTTCTTAAGCACTTAACCTAACCCTGTTGATCTGATAATCCTAAGTGACTAAAGCTTATTGTGTTGTCCAGCATTCAGAAAGAACGATCAGATATTTATGACTGAAATGAAAATTCATCAGCAGATACATGTACAGCACCACTTAAACAGCTGTAGTGAAAGCTTGATGGGAAGTTAGAGGTTAAGTGGGTGTATTTTGGGGTTTATCACATCTGACTTGTCTGCATTTATTGACAGAACTTTTGGGGTTTTTTTTTGAGTATAGAATTTTACTCTCTTGAAACTTCCTTTGCCGTTCTATCCATATCCCAGTAAGGGAATTGCATGCATCTCAAGGTATCTGTGAGGAAAACGTATACTTTTTTTTCTACTTCATAGTGAATGCTTTATATATTCCTCTTCATGTGTCACTTGCAGGAATAAAGGGGTTGATTTCTCTGCACACTTAGCACAAGAGGGCAGCATGATCTGTTTTATTTCAGTCTAGCATTACAGCAGCTTATTAGAAGGATAACAAAATTTATCTGGTATGTTTTTAGAGATGATATTTGAGGAGTGAATTTTCAACCTTTCCACTGAGCAGTAATAATGTGGTTCCATTCAGTTGTCCTCATTATCTGCAAATATAATATTTTCTCTTAATCTTTTACACAGTAAGCTTTTTAGCTCCATGTAATGCTGAGTTCAGGAACTTTGTTGGCTTTGTTATTAGTGGCCAAAAGTGAGAGAACCCTATAGAGTCTGATCCTTTGGTTCCGTCAAGGAGACCTCCTTCAGCCATTATTCCTTTTAATTTCTTTTTCATGATGTTTGTAACGTTTCAGAACAAATTTGATAGAAAGATAGGTAAAATGGACCAGGACTTCAGCAGCAGTGACTTGAATTGGGAGTTCCCTCTTTTGAAATTAGTTTCTTATTGATAGCTTAGGAGATCCTAGTTTTGACAAGCTTCAGAATTTGATTCAGGATTACTTGCTTAGCTTGTAAATCAGTTGTTCTTTTCTGGGATTTGGGGACAGAGGTTTCTTTAGAGAAGGGATGCTAATATTTAACTGCATCGCTTTCAGTACTAGTAGTTTTAGTGGAGATTTGTGTGTAATTTTGAATTGCATTGAGTTTAGGAAACTGAAACATGCTGCTGCTGTGCTGATGGGTGCTGTAAAAATAAATAAGTGATACGCATTAATTTGTTCAGATAAAATATGAATCTCTTCCTCCTCTAGAGATCTGTCTAAAATTTCAAATTGAACCAGAACCACTACGGAAATGCATATGGAAATCTAGCTCTTTTTTTCTTCTCTCTTTTTTTTTTTTTTAAATTGTATCTCTCTAAACTCTTGGTTCTGACAATTAATAGAAGGAGGTGAAATATTTTGGCAGACATTACAGCATTTCTGGCCTTCCTAGAAACAGAAGGCACTGAATTGTGTGATGGTTGTCCTCTACCTGTTAAATCAGCAGATTCCCCCC